AAAAATGATTGATAGTTCATGCTATCTAAGCTGTTCACTGTTCATGCGCAGCATTAACACAAATGAGGGGCTGTAAAGTCTGGTTTGTTTTATTTCACAACAAATGAATTGGTAAAAACCCATCAAGATGGCTCTGTAAACAGGGCTTTAGTTAGATGTTATCCTCCTTTTACCTGAATGGAACTGCAGACTCACTCAGCTCTCACGACATAAGATCATGTGACAGTCTTGCATAATATTCAGGACAAAACAGGTACTTACAAGCTGAGAGAGATTGTTGACGATAACCAGATACGTCCAGGCATTTTTTGAACTGAAGTTACCTTCATCGTAGACCCCACAAAGCTGACAAATCCTAATTTGGCAGGACAGAAATGATGCAAATCATTGATCATCAGACAAAGCTTTATTCTAAACTGACATGCTTATTTTCATATCATATGCTTATTTTTATATCATATAAAAGCAGAGTCTAGGGTGCGATTTTAGCACCTAAAATGTGCTAAAAACTCAATTTAGTCTTGTGTTTAAAAGCATCAGAGCACAGAAACATGTGGAAACATTAGTGTCGACTAAAGGGGTTTGGTGATGCACTTTCATGAACAGAAATTAGTCAATTACACTACCATTCCAATGTTTGAGGTCAGCAAAACTTTAAAGAAATTAACATTTGTATTCAATAAAGTTGCAATAAACTGATCAAAAGTGACAGACACAACATTTATGATGTAACAAATATAATAATAATAATAAGATTATTAGATAAGTTAGATTTGTTCCTATAAGTTCTATCCATTAAAGTATACTAAAAAAAAATGTAGCACAGTTTCCACTAAAACGTTAACTGTTTTCAACAGTGATAATAATAAGAAATGTTTCTTGAGCTCCAAATCGGCATATTAGTATGATTTCTGATTGATCATGTGACGAAGATTGGCATAATGGCTGCTGAATTAATAAATTACAGTACACTTTAAAATATATTAAAATAAAAAACATTTTAAATCAAAATATTAATATTGTGAAAGTGACGTGACATGTGGAATTAGTGCTCTGCATTTATCCCATCCAAAGTGCAAACACACAGCAGTGAACACACACACACCGTGAACACACACCTGGAGCAGTGGGCAGCCATTTTTGCTGCGGCGCCCGGGGAGCAGTTGGGGGTTCGGTGCCTTTCTCAAGAGCACCTCAGTCGTGGTATTGAAGGTGGGAGAGAGCCCTGTACATTCACTCCCCCCACCTACAATCCCTGCCGGTATGAGACTCGAACCCGCAACCTTTGGGTCACGAGTCTGACTCTCTAACCATTAGGCCACGACTTCCCCATTTTACCATTCTAAATTGTAATAAATTCAATATTACTATTTTTATAGCATTTTTAATAAAATAAATGCAGCCTTGTTGAGCATAAGAGACTTCTTTCAAAAACATTAAAAACATCTTACTGACCCCGAACATTTGAACAATAGTGTACTGTATATATTGCTCCCTTATGTATCTTTATATGCTGTAAAACCACATAAAAACACACAAAAATGTGACAAAACTGATAGTAAATGCTTGGTTAACCTCTACAACATACACAAAATGAATGACACTCACAAAGCAATGACTGTGGTGACAGGTCTCACAACTGTGTACTGCAGAACCCCCAGTTTACATCTCAGCAAAAGCACTCTGTTGAGAAAAAAAACAGTTCAGTAAATGTGCTGTTCTCAATATGAAGACAGAAAAAAGGAGGCCATGAGAAAATATTGTTGCAGTATAAATAAATGTTTCTCTGGCACTGTATAAAATCAATTAAAGTTAACTTGACAGGCATTTAACATAGAGCTCTACTGTTCTCTAAAGCAGTTTTTTCCCCTAAACACAAACATATTTTTTCCAGTTAAACGCTGCTGGTTTAAATCAACAGACTTTTCACACATTACCACCACTGCCTAACGTAAATTTAAATGTTGCAGCCATCAGCAGCAACAGCTAAAAGCAGCCAACAACCTCAAGAAAGTGTTCACTCTGCAAGCAATTTAGAAGAAATCTCTTCCTGACGTATCTAAAAAAAAGGCTTTCAATTCCCATCCTCCACTTTAAAGAGGGCTCCAAAGGAGAAGATGGTAAACAGGTAATGGAGGCCCTCAACATAAGAGCCTCAGCCATACCGTCTTGACTTTCTCCTTTAGTAATAGTTACAACAGATACGCATTAAATACCACATCCTGCCTTAAGTTATCCCACTTTCATATTCCATCCATGTCTGTGCAAACACTCACTCTCCCATGGGCCACGGAGGGCAGCAGCAAAGAGGGGGGAGATGCTTTTGTTGCTCCTGCACCTCCAGCATCAGCACCAGACTGGGATACTGGTTTCCCAAAAAGTTGAGAAGGAAGATCATGAAGTTGTAGATGACATAGGCCTCATAGCACTCTCTACATGTGTCTACATAGATGGCAATGTTGGGATACTTCAATGCAATCCACTGTGAAAACAGAAGAAGGGACCAAAGAATAACTTATATACAGAACACAGAAATGTCAAATTACACCAAAAAAAAAAGAGATTGGATGCACATGAGTTTGGTCAAGTGAGTCACTTTTCTGGTCCAACTCTTAAAGTAATCCAAGTCATGAGCATCTGCAACATCAGGCCTCACATTAACTGATTGTCAAACAGAAAAAGGCCAGTGTTCAAGTCAAGGCAATCTTAATTGGAGACTACACATCAAAGAAGCTATTTGCGATTCAAATACCAACATTTTAGCTATCATTGTGATCACATGATACTCACACTATCTAGGCTGTATATAGGAACCATCCATAATATTCTGAGTATGAAAAAACAGAGTGAACGTGAGAAACAGACAAAACAAGTGAAGATAATGTCAATTAATATTGCATAAAAAACACCTTGAAAGTAAAATTTTCCATACAACAATACCTGATAATAGGTTTTTGTAGCTCAGGTTGGGTGTAGTGTACTAGATGCTGCAAAATCCCCCACAGTGAGATGGGTATAGTCATGAACACAAATATCCCAGCGATGAACCATGCCTTATTATGAGTACTAACCTATGAGATTACAAGGAGAAAACGAATACCATCAATGTGAACAGTCACTGTCAAAATGATCTAAACTAGCACAAATACACCTAATTTTAACAATAAAATAACGATTTAAATACTACGTTTTTCCTTTGTGAATCAAATTTGACTCTCTTATATAGTGGTAGCCAAAATGATTAGAACACTATTTTTACCAGCTAAAAATGGTTTTAAGTCAGTTATTTCTATATTTTGCTGTAGTGTGTCAGTAGGAAATATCAGTTTACATTTCCAAACATTCATTTTGCCATTAATTGTAATAATCCAGTGAGATTTTTGTCTGACAACAGCAAGTGCTGCACACAGAGATCTGATCTCATCATCAGCAGTCTGTCTGAAATGACATGAAGAAACAGAACAAACTGAGACAGACTCAATCCAGAAGAACTGTGGCAACGTCTCCAAGACGCTTCAAGAAACCTTCCTGCAAAGCTGCAGTACTGTGAAAAGTTTTAGGCACTTGTGTAAGAATGCTGTAAAATGAGGATGCTGTCAAAAATAATGTTGTAAATAGATTTTCTTTATCAATTAACTTCTATTAACTAAATTAAATCAACATTTGGTGAGACCATCCTTTGCGTTTAAAGCAGTTTTTGCCCTAGCTGCACTTGCGCATAGTTTTTCAGGTAGCTTTACAGGTAGGTCTTATAATATGTATTCATATTTTCAATAAGCTTTTGTTTTCAGTTTTTATTTTAATTTTAGTTTGTTTTAGTAATTTTGCTATGTTCGTGTGTGTGTTTTAAACATATTTTAAACATAACTTTTTTTCAGTTAGTTGCCATTTTTTTTCATCTAATATTTATATTCTATTCAAATTTTTATCTTAATGTTTTAACTACTGTAATAGTCCTAATTTTAGTGAACATTAATAACACTTATTTGACCTTTAAGTATATTACGTAGCTTGAAGTTTACCTAAATAGTTCTCATTAGAACATGCTCATTTCTTGATAGCAGAACAATACAGATATTATAAAACAAAATGTTAAAATCCCATTATGATATAATGAAATCCCAAACGTGTCTGAAATTAACCAGGATGTTGTGTCAGAAAGTTTCATTTCTTAACCTATTAATATTCAATTAGTAATTCAATATATCAATTTAAATAATTTATTTTCTATCATAATACACTTTTGGAACCATATTAAAACACATTTTCAGGTTTAGACCTCTTGTACTATAATCAAAATGGTTTTCATCGTGGGTCAAATTAGACTCAAAGGCTACACGTGAAGTTTCTTAAACAACAAGAGGGTTAACAACATTTATGCACACATTCGACAGTCAGCTGCTTAATCTTTAATGTATGTAATTCTAAAAAGACCTCTGACCCCTGATTTCTGAAGTTCCCATATACAGAGTGGAAGGACAACCAGGAGCAGCAGAATGTACAGCAGCACCACCAGAGGCCGGATCCACCTCCTCCAGTTCCCGCATGTGCACGGCATCTTTCCCGCTGCCACTGAGCTCTTACATTACACTCCGATTGAGTTTGACGCAGAGAAAAGCCGAATTAAGTTCTTGGCAGTTCTGCTCCTGTGGCTTGGTTTAGATGCATATGATTCGTATAAACACGACTGAGATCTTGATGAATCATGAGTGTCGTTAGCGCGTCAAACAGTCAGCTGATTCCTCCCAATCCCACAAACATCACTGCATTCAAGAGCCGCTCGCGATCGCGTCCATTACAAAGTCAACGCACGATCATATTTTATTATCTTTTAGCAGAAATCATGTTACAAAACGCACATCAAACTTTATTGACTTCCAAAATAAAAATTGAGCGAGAAGTTAATAAACAAAGCTGGTCAGAACTTCCTGTTGATCTTGTCGTCACTGACTGTGGGTTCTTCGTCTGTTTTGTGAAACATTTTTAACGTGTAGCACCACCGCTCGGATCGGAGAACCGACAAACTTACTCGCAGTCACAATTAAAACAAACACAATTTATAAAGGAGGAGATGGTGAGTGTTTTAAAACATTTTGTTTCGCCGTGTGTAACTCAGTGTTTCTTTGCAGTAAGTGGCTCGTACTTGTCTTATCTGTCAGCTAGTCTTATACTTATCCATAAAATAAATAAAGTAAAAACAGTGTTGTTGTTGTTGTTGTTGTCACAACCTACCGGCTGTACTGGCTTTTGAAAACATGAGCATTTTTAATTAATCTACTGAGGTAATTCAATTTTCAAATTAATTGTTATGACCTCTTATTAGCATGCTAATAAGAGGTCATAACAATTAATTTGAAACAGTTAATTATCCCATCCTGCAACCCATTGAGGATCGCAACCAGTCCTACCCTCATTTATTTGCTATATTGTAATTCAAAATGCTAAACTTATATGAAACATTGCTTTAAAATTACAAAAATCATTGAAAGCGAATATAGCGTATATTCGTTTCCAATTCAATTCGTTTCTAATATAATGCGTAGTTATGCACAGACAGTATGGACCCATTTTGTGGGTGTCTCCTCCTCATATAATCAACCATGATGTTTCTAGTATTTAAATCAATATGAAGGTAAAAACTTGTGATGCCATATATAAAGTTACACTAAAGAACCTGCTGATTTAAATGATACCATTTCTGTCATTCAACATGATTGGAAATACATTTATTAACTAGACATGAAATTAGTAGGCTACTTTATTTCCTCAGATTTTATTTTATTTTCCTGCAGCTATTTTTGTATTTTTTTTATTCTTATTATTATATTTTTTACACAGAGATCAATTATTTTGTGAAAATTTTATATTCATCATCACTTAGCATGTGTGCACCTTATGTAACCCTTCCTTTGCCTGGTCTTTATGGAATACTTTTGTGATGTTTTTTGTCCCATTTCGAGACAGCCTGCACTTTCGCTGTATTGCCAACATCCTGCTAATACAGTATCTCCTCTGGTGTTACATGGAAGAATGAAAGCCTTATGGGACCAACACGAGGGTGAGAAAATTATGACAATTTTTATTTTGAATGAACTATTGCTTTTAAGTTTGTTGAATTTTACATGCTATTTTGGTGAATCTCTTGACAAAAAGTAGAAAAGTTTTACTTAAAATTGTACTTCAGTGAGAAAAGCAAAGATTAATAGAAAGAAGATTACTACATAATATATTAAGATTAATAAATATATAAACTTACTTTAGGACTACCCTAAGAACAAGTGGAAGTCCTGTGCGAAACAAAAGGTGAAACTGCTCCGTCTGAAGGTGGTTCACTAGATGGCAGTATGTGGCAACACTTTTCATGCAGGGTTATCCAAATAATCCATTCGCTTTATATTCCATATAAAGTGTTCCTAAACAAAAACCAGCGATTAGTTTTCTTTTTTAACAGGAAGAATGTGCCTTATGTTTTTGTTTGTTTTCCTGAACAACAGAACAGTCCTCAAATTACTGTTTCTAATTAAGATTCCTGGGGTGTGAGGAAAAAGTTTTATTCCCCCCCCCCATTTTATTTCACTTTATCGGTAAGCTTTCCATGATGAAAGCAGGAGCTTGAACTCATTTTTTTCTCTCTCTCTCTTTTTTTTTTTTTTTTAGATATAGGAAGGAACAAACTGCAACAACACATCACCTGCCTGTCACAAAAATAAGGTTTATCTGGAAAAAAAACTGAGTCAATGCATTGTTTGTGGACTGAAGGAGATGTAGGCTATAAAGTAGTCCTGAAGTCGCAGAGGCAGAACTTTTCCTTTATGTCGCTGCACTGTCATCATACTGCCCCCCAGTTACAGAAATGGCTCATTGTGATGGGACAGATTGTTCATGAATATTGAATCGATCCTTTTGGCTTTTATAAATTAGAAATCGCTCTTGCCACACTCATGTGAGCGTCTTGTTGGATGACTTGGAGGGATAGCGCTGCAAAATGGCATGCGGGACTCTGCCATGTCGGGGCAGGGAAGACAAACAGACGGTGTGTTTGAGAAAATTGGATACACATTTAAAGTTTAAATGCTGAGTGACGTCCATAGTTAACATCTCATGTGACTCCCAGCAGGAGAGTTCTGCTTCTGTGTTGGTTTGGGTGTAATTTAGACGTCAGTACGTGTTGGGCTAAATGAAGAGAGTTCCTGGAACGTGGTTCATGGCTTTATGTCTTTGTACATGTGTGAATTTTGGTCTTCATGAATTGGTGTCATTCCAGATGGATACCCTCAGGACAGAAAAAAGAGAAAATATATGTTTGATTATTTCTTAATCTCAAACATCTGGCCAAAGATTTATGACAGAAATTGTGCACAAATGATTCTATCCAATCCTCAGTAGCAGTCAATTAAATCAAATACTCTTAGAAAATAACCATTACATGCTTTTATGTGATGAACAAAGCTTAATATGTGTAACCGTTCTCACTTTGTATTAGTTTTTTGGCGCTTAGTCATCGCATACATTTCTGGATGGTTTTGAAATCTCTTGCGTGACAGATAAGGTTACCTCATGCTCATAAATAGAGGTGACTGCACTGCATGTTCTCACAGTTAAGACCAATTTATCCACAGATTTGATCCAAATGCCGTTGGTTCCTTATCTTTTTACGTATAATATCAGTGGTGTGTAATATCAGAAATGTGTTATTAATATAATTCATGGCAGAGCACAGTCTTAAGAATAAACCTTAGGATACAGCCAGAGCTTATCTATGTTTGCTTGTAATGGTGGCGTTAGGCCTTGGAGAGCTACAATATAATGCTGTTTTTCCTTAGAACATATGTGCTTTGTTGAGAGACCTTAACTGAAGGCAGGATAAAGTAAGTATTATATTATATTATATTATATTTATTATACTATGTTGTATTATATTGTACTTTTTAAAAGAGTAAAGCCTACGGTATAAGGAGGATTTTTAGTGAATAAATACTTAAAATTATATTTCCTTGCACAAAAAAGCACACACATCCTAAAAAACAAGTTTTTTTAATTCACCAAATTTAATGAAATACAGCAGCAGAGTGATGTATGAATTTTTGTATATTGTACTCACAAGTATTTATTTTTTATTTTTGCCTTTTTTGTTGCCTTTGAGCTTCATTTGCTTCTTCCTTGGCAAGCCCAGAGGTTCCCACCAAATTCCTAAAACCATTCCTCCTTCTCCCTGAAGGCAGTTTCATGTGCATGAGAAAGAATATCTCAGACCTCAGATGATAAGTCCTATATTTTCACATTAATGTGATTTGAATAATTTGACGAGAGTCTCAAAGCAGACTTGTCTCTTTCTTCCAAATTCAATATCTAATTTCATGTGTGATAAAGAATGTCTTAAAAAAAGACATTTTCATAGTAAATTATTAAGTCCATGCTTGTTTTGGCTTGTGGAGTAGGGTTATATTCAGCTTAGAACATTGTGTTGTAATACCTTTATATCAGTCAAAAAAAAAAAAGGATTAGCATGATAAATAATATAATTTTGTAACTGTTAGTGCATATCTGCATTAAACAAATAATGTTCTTTTTCAGAGGAATCATGTCTGAGAGCAGACCAACAATTTATCTATTGTGCTTATAAATAAGCATCATCTCCATTATATACACTTCTTTATTTACTCAGAAAAATCCACACAAGCAAATAAAAAACACATTTATTTGTCCAAACCAATGGTACTTTTGTTCAAATAAACACTTTCTAAACTGACATTGCAGACAGATGATGGTAATAGCTCCACAGTTTACATCTAATCCTCTAGCATGCCCTGTTCACATCCTCTGGGTTGACACAGATGACCCAGAGGGGCCGTGTTGCCTGGTGGGTCAAAATACATCACAAATCACTCCCAAATTGGAGCTTCTTCCCAGGGCAAAAACAGACAGCTGTCACAAGGCACCCTTTCTTCTTTTAACACTGAAACTCCATTACACTTAGAGATAAGATAACATTGCTTTAAGTGGTAGAATCAATATCTGGTCCAATACTCTTAAAAATAAGTAGCAGCTTATCTAGAAAATTGAACTGATGCTATAACAATCTGTGAGAGAAAAAAAGTGTTGTTTTAACCAGTCATTCATGATATGTAAAATAATCTATAGTTTAATCACTGTACTGCATAGCATATAGAGTAAACAGAGCTGTTTGGTTGTTATAGTGCTATAATACGTTTAAATGTATATATATTATAAATGTGCAACATTGTGAGTATGTTAAGTGAGAACCTTACTAACATAAGGATAATCTGTGACATCAAATTCCATTACAAAAATGGCCTTTTCTTTTTGATATTCACCAGCACGCAAAATTATCAAGACCCATATAGGTCTCTGTCAGAATGTGTATAATTGCATTCATATTAGTTTCAAATTACATTAAGAAGAAAATGGATTTCATAAAATTCCATATATATTACCTTTCAAAAATGTGGGGCCAGTAAGATTTTTTTGTAGTTTGTTTTTAGAAAAAGCTGCATTTGTTTGATCAGAAATACAGTAGAAACAGTAATTTTGTGAAATAGTATTACATTTTTCAAATAGCCCTTATTGAATATGTTTAAAAATGTAATTTTCAGCTGAAATGTAAAGTTCAGTATTTATTTGAAATATAAATCTTTTATAACATTATGAATGTTTTTACTGTTGAAAAATCTTACTGACCCCAAACTTTTTTCCTACAACCTACAACAAGAAATATTTCAACTTAAAATACAGATGATATACAAATACTGAGGCTATTAAATATTAATAATATTAATGTATGCAAGGTTAATAGCATGTATGAGTTCTCTTCACAGAAAATTCACAGTGTCAAACAAAAAAAAAGGCAAAGATATGTTTGTATCTCTTGGGCGTTTTGGTTTTGATTACAGAAAGGTCCCTTTTCCCGCGCCCTTATGCTCATTTTTTTTTCTTTACCCTATAAAACAGCATTTGTTGGATGCATTCCTAGAAATTACTCTTAAATCCCAGCAAGGTCAAAGTTTCATTTGCCTCCTTATTGCTGGAACTGAATCCAGCTGGTTCATTTCACAATTGCTGTCTTATGTTTATTTTTTGATTTTTAATTTAATTCTGAGCTTACATTTTTATTTTAAACAAGCATATACACAATAAACTTAATTTGGCATTCAAAAACAAAGGCTTGTCTACATTATCTTCCTACCCCACTAAATAAACAGGTGACGTCCAGCGCACATTATGATTCACTTAAAGGGGTCATATGATGTTGCTAAAAAGAACATTATTTTGTGCATTTGGTGTAATGAAATGTGTTTATGCGGTTTAAGTTTCAAAAAACACATTATTTTCCACATCTAAATAAAGACATGCTGGGAGTTTCTTTTGCAAAGCTCGTAGGTAGGAACACAGAAAACACAGATTGACCACTTCACTCTTCCTTTCGGTAACTTCCTTTCACGTCGGACAGTGACGATCCAGAGCTTCATATTTAAGCGTTTTCATAAGGAAAACATGTCAAGTTCCTGATGAGGGTTAATTTGTAGCTGTTAGGTTCAGCTGCATCCTGTTGCTGTTGGTCTTCACTCCCACCACTTCTTACACAGCTCACTTCAAAACAACCCTCTGAAAGTCTGGGAACAGCTGCTGTAGGTCTACGGGAGTCTTTAAATATATCAGGTCCATTGTCTGGTCTGATGCTATATATAAAAACAGCCTGATACTGCGCAGAGCACAGGAACTTTAGTTTCATATGAATGGTTACAATGTTTTCCACCTCAAAGTTGACACTGGATGATGTCCGCTTCTATAATGCGTTTTAAGCATGTAGGCGGACTGTAGTGAGTCCTTCACCTCTCAGTCGCTGTATTTGCGGAGGCTTCTGTCGGTATTGAGGTTGCCGGGCTCATGGTTTTTGCACTGAATGCTAGTGCCGTTCATTGGGCCTGAGCTGGACACCTGGTTCTTGGTGTAACACCAACAGCACAAGCATGACTGCAATGATAAAGAACAACGAAAAATAATTTGATTATACCAACATGAGTGCATGATTTGTAAACCAATACATTTTAATGTTGTATTACATTACCAGCTCCATATGTATGGCTTTTCTGACATAGTAAACTTGCTCGATAGCTCACCTAGTACAGCATTGCATTTGTGATTCGGAATGCTCAGATATGAGTGACATAAAATACAAGTCATGACACCCAATAAAACAGCTTAAAGAATTATAAAAGAAAGCTAAAATGGCATGGTTGCTTTAGCAAATGCATTTTTATCTAACGTTTACTTTTGTTAACACTGTTAAAATTAGGGTAGGGGGTATGTTATTTTCGAACACGATAAAGCATTAGGCTTTTAGCGCCATTCACTGGACATTACATTTTCAAACTGCTGTGATGCATAGAAGTGCCAACAGAATAAAAAGTTGATAGATTTACATACATCTGTTTCAGAGACACGCTTGAACATGCTGTTTAGCAGCACTCACTGGGCATTTCCATTTGAAAGTTCCATGAAACATGCAAGAAGCAATCTGCTGTAATATTATTTTACAGAAATGTTGCTACAGGGACATTTTTCTAATGAGCCTGGTTTAGATTTTAAGTAGTACACATTGTATTGTATTAGACGTGAATGACTTGAAATAAATCAGTATTTCTTATCTGCAGCTCTAAGTTTGGCCCATAGTAAATCAACTTTGAATATTTCTTTTGGATCCACACCATCTCTTGCACAAATCGTCAATTTTCATTCATTTAGGCCCATGAACTTGTGAGTTGTTGTTGTTTTGCTTTGTCCCACAACCACTTCAGCTGCACTGTATCTTTGGGATCATCCTCATTACTCAGAAGGAGCCCACTTAGGGTCTGACATCATTGTCGGTAAACTTCTCTCAGTATGGGCCGGGCATGGCTTATCTCTCTCTGAGAATGACTCACAGGACCCTAAACATCTGTCTCTGTAATTCAAGCATAATTTGCTGATAGATTGTTCTGTTGCAGATTTTGTTCTGTTTTCAGATTTTGCGAAGACGCAAGGAAATACGTTTAGGAACAGTCGTTCTGTGAGAGTCTGTTTGCAATGGCAGGCAAATGAAGGAAGCAAGCAGTTTTAAACTCACCTTAAAGCAATTCTTGAACTTCTTGCTCACAAAATAGAGGATGATGGGGTTGATGCAGGAGTTCACAGTGGCCAAGTTAATGCCAAAATAATCCATGATCAACAGGAAGCTGAAAGTTTGGACACTCATTTAGCTTTGTTGCGTATCCGATTCTGTTTCTGAGTTTACATACCCTTTGCATAATCAAATTTTTTTTAAACTAAGAAAGATCATAAAAACACCTTGAGCATCATTAGCTATAGCCTTATGTGATCTATATGATAGGAAGGCAAGAAAAAAGGGGTTGTAAACTTGTGTAAATTAGGATACAAGCAGTGCTAAATATGTGTGTGTGTGTGTGTGTGTGTGATTTAAAATATTTACTTTTGATGATTTTATTTACTTTTTAACATATAGCATTATGTTTTTGTAATGCTACAAATCTTACAGTCTCCAAGGGGTATGTAAACTTATGAGCACAACTGTATAAACACTTTAGAGTACAAGCTATAACTTTTACGTCAGAAAAAATACCTTATGCACAAGCAGCACAAGTATGTAAGGTATAAGATAAATCAGTCCACTCAATGTTAAGAGTCAAAATTGGCAAAGGCTCACTCACTTTAGTAGGTCACAACGTCTTTCATCATTTGGAGCATAAACCATTTTCTTCAACAGTCTACTGAGATGAAGAGGGAACCAGCAAAGAGCAAAGATCAGCACTAAACAGAAGACTGCTTTAGCCACTTCACGCCGCTGCAGAGCATAAACAAGCCATTAGAACAGCAGTATATTCAGCGTTATATAATATACTCTCACATTAAAACTCAAAGGCTTTACCCACAATAGTGCATACAAGACAGGCTAAAATGTATGCCATGATATCATGTAAGTGTTCATAAAGACAATAATACAGTGTAAATGCAAAAAATTGTACTGTTCAGTATTAGTAGTATGTTTTTATCATACAGACTTGGAAGTTTATATTATCATTAGTATTAAGGATGACTTCTTACCTGTTTAAGGTGTTCGCTGAGCACTATCCGAAGGCTTCCATTTCTGCGGTTGAGCATTTCACATGTCATGAGGGTGTAGAAAATAGCTGTGCAGGCCAGTGGCACACAGAAGTAAAAGCTAAATAACCACCAGTCTTTCCAATTTACATAGAACTGAGAGAAGATAAAGCACATACAGTATCCATTACATCTACAGTAAACAAACACAGTTAATGTGTCATGAAATTAGATTAGCAAAGGGCTGAGTTGTGACAACAATTTTTAAATTCCTTTTTATATGATAAAAACATTTTTTTAATGCCAACTACTTAATTTGCAGGAGTAAAAGTAACAAAAATGGCCTCAGAAGATCTCAGCATTGATTTAATGGTGAGCTTAGACCTATGATGGATGTTAAGAAGCCAGAAGAGCATTGAACCAGTAAGAAAAATAAAGAGATGATAACGATAAAGAGACTAAATTCTAGCTAAATATGTTATACACTACTCTAATAAGAATTTTAGCTGAGTTCAGTAAAAATATTACTGACCCCAAACTTTTGAACTGTGGTATATTAGCTAACTAGTCCATGCAAAGTAGTGGAAACTTCTTTTAGTAGTTTTTTTTCTACTTTCTTTTAGGAGAAAATAATTTGGCGTTGTGTCCTGATCACCCTACTCGGTTTATTTAGTTAAAAATGATTCGCTGACCATTATCCCTAGGCCTACAACCCCCCCAAAAAAAAGGTACACAAAGTGACCTCAACACAATGATAATTACATTTTTATTTATGTGCTGTATTGAGTCTCGTCTGAATTGTCTTTTGTTTCTGTGATTAATGGCTCATATGAGAGAATGAACTCTGTTTCTCATCCACACATATGGCTCTGCTTGAGAGAGATACATCAGCTTGTAATTGCACTCATGGTCTGTTATCAATTTACTTCTTTGGAACGAACAAAGAGAAAGAAATCTCCAGATATCGCCTGCACGGAGCAACTGAAGAAAACTCGAAGGTTTTTATGCTTATCCTCCTGCACTCTAAAAAATGCTGGGTTAAATACAACCCAGTGCTGGGTAAAATAGGGACAAGCATTTGTGGCTCAGATTTGCTTTTATAGTGCTGGATGACAATGAAACATCTTTTACTCAGAGAGAGAGAGAAAAGAAAGAATAATATTGTCTGAAAGAATATCATATTGTCTGTTTTTTTTTTTTTTTTAATCAGAAGGAGCTCACATTATGTTGAGGTAATCTGTCAAAAGGTAAATTAATTTCATTTCATTGTTTTATTTATTTATTTTTTGAGGTTTTGGCTACTTAACTTGGCCAAAAGATAATGTCTTAATTTAGTTTTATTTTATAATCGTACGACAAGATTGCCATTCGTTCTTCTTCTTTATGGTAGTGATTAAACTGAGGTGGGCAGGTGGCTTCTGCCTCCTAATGAGGAAAATACTTTCTAATGAGAGGTGCCCATTAGTGCTGACCTTATAAACTGGAGAAAGTGCCCTGATTCATACAAAAACTTGACAAGTTAACGTCCCGCCTTTTCCCCTAAACCACCAGCAAATGCACTGTTTCCTAAGGTAGTTTTCAAGGGAACCACCCTGATCAAGATGATACAGGAAATACAGCTTTAAAAAAATACCCAGAGTTTTTTTTTTTTTGTGGGCAAAAGAGTTTGCAAGCTTTATTTTCTTAGCTTATATATGAATTTCTGGAGAAAAACTCCATCTGAACGAAAACTGTGAGAATAGGGCCTTTCGCACCGCGGGAACCTTTTCATAGTACCAGAACTAATTGTGGAACTACCCACTTTTGGGCGTTTTCGCACCGCCGGAACTGGGTGCGATTTTAGTACCGGACTGCCTTTCTCGAGAATCCCAACAGACGCTTTCTGGAGGAAAGGCACCAGTTTACACAGGAAGAGTCCAAAAGAGCTGTCATCAAATGGCCATTTTGTGAGAAGTAGCTGCAAGAAAAATAGAATCATTCATGACTAGGATTACTCAGCCATATGACCCACAAGCTAATCGCTCACTCTAGTAGAATACAATGCATTAAGATGAATTAAATGTGGATGAACTGAGCAACATGTTCTCACTTATTTTAAGTGCTTATGTCTGGACATTTATTTATAAAGAAAGAAAGAAATGGAGATGTTTAACCATAATTGAAGCAGACTAGATTTCTGGAATTCACTTAAATAAATAGCAGATTTTTTGCTTTTACTCTCTGTTCCCGTCTTTGGCCTTAAGGGCACACATCTTGTCTTGATGAAATGGCTTCAGAGCCGTTTCAATGGTTGCTTGTATATCAGCCCAGGCACTTCCTTGGTCGTTGTATACTTTTGCTTGTCCTCACCTTGCAAGACTCCAGTAGTGTTGAAAACAAAAACCTCCTGTCTCCTTTTTTGAAGTGTACCCCTTTTTTGTAATGACATATGCGTCATCAGAAGGTTTTTTTTTTCTTTGTTGGTTTGGACTTCTGCAAAGTCTCATCATTTAAGTGGCCTTGACAAGGTTCTCTGAGAGGACCTTGCCTTTTGTTAAACAGGAAAAGTATGTGGATTATGCTCAGGTTTAGAAAGGAAGCTCCTCACGTGTATCCTGGCCCTGTTTGTATGAGGAGTGCAGAGTTTAATCAGTGGCACAGCTGGAGAAGTGTGTTTGTATGTGTATTTGATGTATATTGGAAGTCAGTGGTCTGGAGTGCACACGAGTCTGTGCGTCACAAAACAAGTCATGCTAAATATCACACTTCCGTTTTAAAATATTGATGTTTTTTCACATGAACTTTCACTTGACACCTTCCGTCCTAACAAAGCAACACTCGAGATCTCTGATCTCAAAACTCTTAAGAGTATGTTCATCTGACATCTCCACCCAATATCCTGTTGAAGTGTCTCTCAAAATAAATTTTGTAAAACATAATAGCTGACTTTATGGATGCTGAAAATTGGAAGACAAACATTCAGCGCTAAACTCATTTCAGAGAGCGTTTTAACTTTATAAATTGTGAAGACAGACTTCAAATAGGAATGAGAGTACAAGAGATAAAGAAAAAAAAAACACTCTAGTTTAAAACATTGTTTTAAGAGTTTTAACATTGTTTACAGGTTTTTAGAAATGCACTCTTTGTATTCATGCTTCTTAAAAAAAACACACTCTAAAATGTAATGTGGTGTATCCATCAAATGTATTCACAAAAATAAATAAAATTACATTTAAAAATGTACATAAAGTAAATAACATTTTGTACACTTTTGAATACATGTGATTTTTTCCCCCTTTTAAATATCTTTCTTTATTATTATTATTCATTCATAAATGTCAGTAAAAAAATTTTTTGGGGGGGTCACACTACATGACATTTTACAACATGAACTAACTGTGCTTTGTCATAAAAAGTTAAACTATCTTACATTTTTTGGATAATTATACCTTGTCACACAGTCGTGAGGATATGCAGGGGTCCTGTATGATATCATTTCCTGTTTTATGGTGTTTTTTTTTTTTTTTTGCTTGTTGTTTGGACCACATGTTTTTTAAAGATTGCTACACAAGACTTTTTATTAAGCAACAAAGCAGTTTTGTTGAAATGTTCTTTCTTTTATCCCATAAAAAATCATAATAGATGATGCCAAAATACTTTTTAATAATTTGATTTTTTTTTTTTTTTTATGAGGCTAGTTTCTTAATTACAATATCAGGACGGTTGTATGTCCTTGACATTTTTGGAGCATACTTTTAATACAAAAATTCAAAATATGCTCTTTACTGAAGAAGTGTATTGAAGTCATTGTATGTCTGAATTGCATATTTCATCTGTTTTTGACAAAATACATTAAAATCTTTGACCCATCTTCTAACACAGGCCTCTGTTCACTGTCAAGTACTGTGTTCACTGATGAGCCGAAAATCAGACAAGTGACTTTGGCTAGTGATGAAGCACTAGTCAGAACAGGGCTATTCATTTGGATGGCAGCCCTTCAGTCCCCTGTTTATTTTATCAGGACCATATCCCTGCTGCACTCATCACGAAAACCTCACTAACCATAATAGGACGGACCTAGAGATAAACTCTGGATGACCGTATATAATTGTACGCCCCTGCCCGGTGCATCTAAGGCCCCTCCCAACTTCCTCTACCAACTCATTCTCCCTTCCTGCGCTCGAGTACTCTCTTTTGTATTGTTCTCTATAGGCTTTGTGAAAAGTAGCCTTTGAGAGCAACATGATGTCATGCTTCCTTCCAATTGAAAATAATGAAGAAACCGATCTGTGCCTACCTTGTAGACATTGATAGGGATGTCTATGGTGATGTAGAGGAGGTCTCCAAGAGCCAGGCTGGCGATGAGGGCATTGGGTCCATTCCTCATACACTTGTTTTGGTAAATAATCCTCAGCAAGGTGGCATTACCCACCATTCCCACCACAAACACAGCACAGGAAATAATTGTGTTAATATACTTAAAATAGTGCTTAATGGAAGTGGGGTCCTTGCAGGCTGGAGGCCCCTTCAGTCTGGTATTGTTATCCAGCAGGGCTTTTCTGGTTGTGGGCTGGAGACCTTTATGCACATTGGTTTTGGATGTAGTAAAGTTTTGAAGGACTTCCTCTGTTCCATTAATGTGACATATTCCAACAGTGGCCAGGACGGCCATTAGCAAAAACAATCGTAGCGTCATAATGCCCATTGCAGAACGCAGTTCGCTCTTTGATTTCCAGATGAGGTGATAAGAGCCTGATTACGGCTATTTAGCACAGCTGTGGGATAAGAAACAACAGGACAGGACATCAAAACCACATCCATGTCATAAAGCAAGTTAGAGTTCAGTTTGTCGCAGCTCAAGTACACAACATAAAGAGACATACGACGCAGGCCTCAGAATAAAACAAAATCAAAGAGAATTACTTAAACGTATAACACTAGATCTGCAAAACTTCAAAAGGGATTTAGTGGAGGAGCACAGATGGAGAGTGCCAGTACGAGTTACTGTCATGCTACAGGGACGAGACGTTGCCTTTCCTATCATTCCCGGCAAGTACCCATCAGTGCTGGCACAGTGCTAGTGGCACAGCATCAAGCTTTTGTTTTTTCATTTGTAATTTTTAAAATGCGCCCGTTCCACGGCTTGGTTTCCTCAACATGCATTCCCGCTCTGGTTTGCATTTGGCATTCATAAGGGCAGTTTCCCCAAACTTAATAAAAATGGGAAATCAAGAACAGACCACTGCTTAATAACAATTACAAGGTTTTAAATCAATCAGATATATTTTTGGTAACAATAAGGCTCCGTTTGTTAATATTAGTTAACTTAATTAGTTGACATGAACTAACAATGAAAAAAAAAACGTATAAAGCATTTATTAATATTAATGTTAATTTCAACATTTAATACATTATTAAAATCAAAAGTTGCATATGTTAGTATTTCATAATGGATATAAGCTAACATGAACAGTTGTGATGTTAACAAAGATAAATAAATACCGTAACAAATTAACTAACAGGACCTTATTTTATAGTGTTACCAAATTTTCCAATAACCTAAAGTTTCGTATTTTGACTAATTAAATCACTTATGCTGAGAAGAACATTAAAATGTCTATTTTTTTTTATTGTTAATAACAAAGAAATGATTTGAATGTCTTTCAGATAAGTTAAGTAAATCCATAACAAACATAGCCTATTCGTACAGGAGAATCACAAGTGAGAAAAGTTAATCAACTCTCATCTTGTTTGGAATCATTTGAAACCCCCTTTCATTATCTTGACAGCAAAGGAACACTTCTGAGCCAAGATGTGTTTCCTGTTCAAAGTCCCTGCCACCACCTGGTACACAAGGAACTATTTAGTAGACAGCCCTTCAAGTAGCATCTCAGTTTAGCATCAGCTAGGCACTAAAGGGATCTTTAACGGCACGTAAACGGCTACACTTATGAATTATAAATGCCTCCTGGTTTTTCACCTACCGCTCCTTAAATGTCTGCCTTCCCCAGGATCCCGTCAGTCAGTCAGTCAGTGAGTTAGTGAGACGAATATTCGGCTAGAGCCCCCCAGACATCTGTGTGGTATCATATGAGTAATTAACCAACTATCAAAGTGTAGCAGGATCCCATTTGGACGCCACGACGCACCCGAGCTGCTGTGAAGGGGCTGCGCATTCTGTCTCTAGCTTTTCCTGTGGAGAGTTGCTGTGTGTGTGTGTGTACGTGTGTGTACGTGAGTGTTTAAGAGAGAGCACTTTGATGGGGTGGGATTGCAATTCTCCACCTCCCCCCTCGGCCGGGAGGGGGGCCCCAAAGGAAACACCAGCGCTCGGTGAGGCACAGCCTGCCTGACTGTCTACAGTCAACCCAAGCTCGGGAAGCATCAGGAGGAATTACGAACCCTCTCCTGAGGTTTGCCTTCGTTCTCTCCCTCGATCTTTGCGTTTCTCTGACAGAACTCCTGCCGCCGTGTCGTAACCTTCTCCCAAATGACAAACTCGCCTCACTTTCCTTCAGATGCGATACTGACAGCTATGCAAGAGAGGGTGTGGGGGACAGCGGTGGGATTGAGAGCCAAATATCCCTTGAACTTTCTATGCCCGAAATATCACAATGTGGGTGGTCGGACTCAAGGGAAAATGCGATTGCTTGTGTGAACATAAAAGCCCACGTAAGCCTTGGGTTCAAGTCTGCTTTACCAGCCTTACATAAATTGAAGCTATTTTGGATACTTTTTCATTATGTGCCCTGGCAGCGTGATCTCAAGAAGGTCGATTAGAACAACAAGCTTGTATAAAACAAAGTTCCTGGCTGACTACATCACTGTCCATTATACAACCTATATGTCTATGCCGAGCAAAATGGGCCATTATCAATATGGGGTCTAAGTGCAGGAAGGCTTCTATCAGTACTGCAAGCAGGCACCTTAATAAGCTGATACAGCAACTGTACTTGATTCTAATAAAACACTGACCTGAATATCATTGAAACTCACTGGGCCATGATGATGTTTTATATAGCAGTGCTAATGCCTCCTCATTACAGGTGCTTTATCAGGTTGTGTTAAGATATTGAGGTTTATCTCATCCTTTCACATTGTATGCGAGGTTTGATTAGCACTCTCTGATAACTTGTAGGCTGTTTCACTGGTTGACATTTATTTACAAAGCACTAATTGTTTTGTTTCCTTCATATCTAATGATGTATGTTAATTAAATTAAATATGTTAATATAATCAGCTGATGTATTATGTGCATCGTTACATGTCAAAAACAGATTTTGGCAGATAGCAATGGTTAAGTGTATAGTTCATCACATTTCTTTTATTAAAAGGTTTTTAAGTCAAGATTTAGAGTTTTTATATGCACACACACAGAGTACTGTTCAAAAGTTTGACCAACATGTATTTGATCAAAAAATTCTGTAAAAACAGTAATATTGTAATGTGTGACCCTGGACCACAAACCCAGTCTTAAGTCGCTGGGGTATATTTGTAGCAATAGCCAAAAATACATTACATGGGTCAAAATGATTGATTTTTCTTTTATGCCAAAAATCATTAGGACATTAAGTAAAGATCATGTTCCATGAATATATTTTGTAAATTTCCTACTGTAAATATATTAAAACTTAATTTTTGATTAGTAATATGCATTGCTAAGAACTTCATTTGGACAACTTTAAAGGCGATTTTCTCAATATTTAGATTTTTTTGCACCCTCAGATTCCAGATTTTCAAATAGTTGTATCTCTCCCAAATATTGTCCTATCCTAACAAATGTATTCAGCTTTCAGAAGATGTATAAATCTCAATTTCGAAAAATGTAAGATTATTTGTGGTCCAGTGTCACATATTATTGCAATTTAAATAATTGTTTTCTGTTTTACTATGTAATTTAAAATGTAATTTATTCCTGTGTTGCAAAGCATCATTACTCCAGTCTTCAGTGTCACATGATCCTTCAGAAATCATTCTAATATGCTGATTTGATTATCAGCAATCATGTCTTATTATCACAATTCCAGTACTATTTAAATAAAATAATATTTTTGTGGAAACTGTAATATATGTTTTTTTCGGTGTTTATTTGAACTATACAATTACAACTATACTTTACTGAAACTTTTGATCAATTTAATTCATACTTGCTAAATATAAGTATTAATTTATTTAAAAAAGAAAGAAAAAGAAAAGAGAAAATTTACTGACCCCTGTTGAATCATTATCATATCATATAATATATCGTATATCATGTCATATAATCATATATCATATATCTTTTAAAATGAAAATCTTTGATTCCTGGATTCCTTTTTCATATTTTCCTTGATTTTTGTCCCCCTCCTTTATTTGATTGCTGGCCTTTTTTTTTGATGCACCTGAGGGGAGAATTACAGTGTTTAAGTTTGCCACACTTTATTATACCATCAGAAATGGTTTATATTAATAAACTGAGTATTATTCTCACAGGGAACATAGCAGCAGTAATCTGTCCTAATTAAAAAAAAAAAAAAAAGACAGTTTAAAAAGTTCACAAAGACACCATATATTATCCCTTTATAGTTCTCTTTTAGCTCATATTCTCATCACGTTTCCATGCGGCCAGATGCTATGGGCAGTATAATCCCCCTTTTCATTCCATTTATTTGTCTTTTGGGGGAAAGGGAAAGCGAGAACGAGTGTGTGTGTGTGTGTGTGTGTGTGAGAGAGAGTTGAGTTTGGAGTCTTTGTTAATCAAGACATTAATATATAAAATGATGAAACCTTTACCTGGTCCCAGTTGTTTTAGGCTTTCATGTTGTTGTGCTGTTGTTGTTTGGGCTCTTCATCTGGTATTAATGCCATTCTGTCTGAACTCAAAGATGGCAGGCTGCCTGGTAATTCATATGCTTGTTCTCTGATGGCATCTGTGAAAATGTGCTCCGTGCATATTGGTACATTCCCTGTGGGAGGGAGCAGGAGCTCAAACCTCTGACTGAGTGGGATGTACGTGGTTTCATAACTGGGGCACTTGCACCAAAAACAAAAGAGAGAGAGAGAGAGAGGGAGGGAGGAAGAGATAAAGACTGGAAAAGAAGGCCCAATTGATTGTCTGTGTTGTGACTGTGATTGATATGCTGACACAGGGTGTATTAACCACTGCAGAATAGTTTAAGTTGAAGTACTGAGAATTAGAATATTGAATTGAGTCATATAGTATATAAAATGTTTCACACAAAAAATGAATGTCTGAGCTTCTGGTAAAGTGGATTTATATACTTCTAAAAAAGTACCATAAAAATATCACAAAAGTAGTCCACATGAGCTGTGTGTGCTATATTCCAAGTCTTCACTTTCAATTTCACTTTTTATTTATTTATTTATTTATTTATTTATTTTTGAGATTGTTTGCTAATTATCATCACCTCAGTCATACCATTTGCGGTCAAATAATTTCAAACATTTATTTATTTATTTATTAATAAACACAAGCATGAGTGAGATAAAGATTAATAGTGACTTTTGAAATGTTGATATGTTTCTCACAGAAATCTATCATGTGACTTCATAAAAGATGGAATATACATTCCGAATCAACCTACATGCATAAGGTTTATTCAAATAAAATAAAATATAAGGGTTAGATAAGGTAGAAAGAGCTTTTTACAAATGCAGATTGCTACTTTTTATTGCATAGCGCAAAAGTCATAGACTAAGTGTTTTTTTTGTTGTTGTTGTTGTTGTTTTTTTTGCTCATTTAGGAGTTTAGAATAAAATAATGTATTTTAAAAAATACTAAAATGGTATAAATCACTATCCACTTTTGTCTGCTTTTTCCACGCAATATTTTCACCACAGGAAATTACTCAAACTTCACATCAAGTTTCACATTTAAAGTTTCCACCATCATCACGTTGTCTAGTCAACCTCCTTTTGTTGTAGAAATTGCATGATTTATGGAGGATCTGGAAAAGTTTTCACATTAGTCATTAGGCTATGACACCAGAAGGTCTAAGGTCAAGAGAAGTGTTCCTATTATCTGTTCTCTATTACAAGGGAGAGACACAACAGCGCAGACAGACAGTTATGCTCTAGATTATTTAAAATATGTACTTTTTTAATAAGAACAGTTTTTATGAGCTGAGAAGGAACCATCATTTTAGATGATGGTTGATGTCTTTTTGTAAATCCTGTTGTATACTTGTATACTGAAAATCACTGTGGTTTCATATAATAACTTAATAGACGTTTACAACAACTGCAACAGCATAAAACAACTTTTTCTTATTTACTCACATGTGTTTGTAGGTCAACTAGACACTGTTATAGCCAACATCATCAAATGAGTCACCGTTGAGGAACTTTGTTAGCATTGTGTGCCCATACAACATCAAAATAAAATAAATATTATGGTCTGTCATATTTGCATTTTACCTGCTTGTAGCTTTTGTATTGTTGCTGGCCAAACTCAAGCTACCTATAGGCAACATGACAAGGTAACTGATAGTACAAGTCTAGAAAAAGTCAGTAGAGCTCGAGACACATTCCTAAAGCACCCCTTGCCTAATCTTCTTTTTGTCAGACATACTCATTGCGAGAAGCGATAAGGTCTGAGCACACGTCTATATCTGGGGCATACTTGCTGCATAAGCTCTTAAATAAACACTCGGGGGACATCTTGGACTTAATAACCGCTCATCCTCCAGATATTTTTTATTTATAAAAATGCAGCCTTGGTGAGCAGACACACACACACAAATAAATGTGGGTGGCCCTTATTGGGGGAGGGGAGTCATTTTTTATTATTGATGTATCTTTTATTTATTTATTTATTTATTTTTTAAATGTTAACCTCTCACCCACTCATTTGTTGCTCCACTAGATGTACTGTATGCAAAATACCATCCAGATAATTTGTCATTTGGGTATGCTCAAAGAATTTATCTTTTTATCAATAGGTACCTCAAAATCTGATTGGTGACATTAGCAGAGTTTTTGTTCACTGATAAAATTTTGACTCTTTCTGATATCAGATGAGGGGCAGTCATGACCTAATGGTTAGAAAGTCGGACTTGTAACCCGAAGGTCGTGGGTTCGAGTCTCAGTACTGGCAGGAATTGTAGGCAGGGGGAGTGAATGTACAGCGCTCTCTTCCACCTTCAGTAACCACGATAAACACTCGGGGGACATCTTGGACTTAATAACCGCTCATCCTCCAGAAAACTCTTTCTAAACTTCTAT